GAGAAAGACGTTGACTTGTTGCTCCGCTCATCTCTTGCACGTGTCTTGACCAGAGATGGAACCCACAACCTTGCCAGACAGGGACCACGCTCCAACCAACAGAGCTACCGGCCAGGGCTATAAGATGTTAAATACTTACAGTTTCTAGGGCAAGTTTTAGGGCAGTGTGGTTGGTGCCTCTGTTTCTTCACCTGACAATAATAAGCATACCCCCCTGTGAGCTTGTAAAAAGCATTATAGAGTTAATGTTTGAAAAATGCTTGGAACACTGGGCATGTCTCAAGCTCTTTGCTCTATATCATAAATTTTTAAATTTCTCTTGCATTTGCTTGTAAGCTTCTGAGGGCAGATTGGTACCTGGCTGAATGTTGAAAGCACACTGTAACTTATGATAAATCAATGAATGACCAAAACTTTGGAAATATTGGAAGCTTATTGTGCATGGGACTCCCATCACACATGCATTAGATGGGGTCAGACCACAGATGGGGGGGGCTGTCTCATGGTTTGAGGCCATTACTCCTCAGGCTTCCTGAGATCTGGGATGGGGCTGGGAGGGATGGGACTTCTCCTCTGGGCCTTGACAACCACCACCCCCCTCTCAAAGCCTGGACACCAAGAAGAGGAGTGGACACTGCCCAAAAGGCTCAGACGGAACAGGCAGAGGCCAGAGGAAAATCTCAGGGTCCATTTCACCAGCTGCTCCTGCTGAGCAGATGACCTTGAACTCAGATCTCTGAATGACTTCTTCTGACTTTCAAAATTCAATGTTATTTTCAAAATTATACATGTGTATAACATTTTAAAATACTGAACCTCATTGCTGAGTATGAGCTGTAGCTTTCTGCGGGGCAAGGACAAGAGCCTCCTCTCCCCAGCACGGCCGGAGGTCCGTGCCTGGTTCCAAGACCATGATGACCGTCTTCTAGGAAAAATCTGAAATTTGTGCTCCTGTATAATTCGTACCCACGTTTTTGGCTCAAACTTTCAGGGAAAAAATCTTTCATTTTAATTTTTAAATTTAATTTGTTATTTATATGTAAAATTGATTACTGTATTTCATGGTATTAGTTTGCATATGGTTATTGTTATTGCTTTCTAGAGTTACACTTTTAATACATAAGCATAAATAAAAATTAAAAACATTTTTATAGATACAGTTAGTACTACTCATGTACAATGTGCATCCTTATTTTTCCTTCAAAAATTTGGGCAAAAAGTGATCATTATATATGGCAAAATATGGTATGTGTTAAACAGTAGAGTGGCCCCTAAAAAACTTTCCAAAATAGAGTGAAGTCATGTAAAAATTAAAATGCTACAGTAAAAAAGATCTAATTAATGCAAAGGAAAGCTATAAAGAACTAGAGAAACTAAAAACAACATGGGAACTGAAGAAAACAAAAAATAAAACAGTAGGTTTACTCGAAACTATGTCAATGATACCAAATGTGAATGAATCACATAATCCAAACAAGAGGAGTCAGAGGTTGTCACCTCCAATTAACAACAACAACCATGATCCAAATATATGTTATGCACAGGAAACACATTTTAGAATTAAAAATACAGGTGGGTTAAAAGTAAATGTAGGGAAGTCATGCCCTGGCCAGTGTGGCTCAGTTAGTTGGGTGTGGTCCTGCAAACCAAAAGGTTGCAAGTTCAATTCCCAATCAGGGCACATGTCTGAGTTGCAGGTTCAGTCCCCAGTTGGGGCAGGTATGGAGGGCAACCAATCAATGTTTCTCACATCAATTTTTCTCTCCCTCTCTCTTTCCCTCCCTTCCCCTCTCTCTAAAAATAAACAAAAAGTAAAAGCAGGGGAAAGATACTTCTATAAACAGCACCCACGTAAAAGCTGTAGAGATTATACAAATATCAGGCAAATATGCAGAAAAGTGAAAAATATCAGCAGAGATATTGAGAGACATTGTAGCAAGCCAAAAGGGTTAATGTTTATAATCTGTATCTAAAACAAAACAGATTTCATTTTTGCAAATATTAACAAAGAAAAAATATCAAATCGACAACCTAAACTTTTGCCTTAAAAGACTTGAAAAGGTACTAAATATCTTTGGGTGATACTAAACCCAAAGAATGGAAAAGGAAATAATGAAAATTAGTGCAGAAATGAACAAAAGAGGAATTTTAAAAAACACACAGAAGATCAATGTAACCAGAAATGGGTTCTATGGGAAGCAAAACAATGGACAAATCTTTAGTAGGTTAATCTAGAGAAAAAGAGGGAAGATTCAAAGTTAAAAAATCAGGAAGATAATGGGATATAACTACTGACATTACAGAAATAAGAGAATTATAAAGAAATTCAATAATTTTATGTAACAATTCAGTATATAAGATAAAATGGACAAAGACCTAAAGAGAAACAAACCACTGAAAATAATTTTAAAATAACAGAAAATCTAAATGGAACTGTAAAAGTGAAGTGGTTGAATTAGTAAACAAAAGAGCACCCACAAAGTAAGCACAGGCCCAGATGGCTTCAACATAAATAGAATTCTCCAAAACTTCTAAAGGTTAGAATGGATTCTTCACAAACTCTTCAAAAAACAAAAACAAAAACCAAAAAACCCTGAATGCAGACAACCCTTCACACTTTTTTCCAAGGCCATTATTACTCTGATTCTAAAACTATCAAGTTGTCACAGAAAAAAAAAAAAAGGCCTAACATACCCATTCTTTTTGTAAATAAGGATCCTCAACAAATTCTAGCAAACATGATCCAGCAAAATATCCAAAAAAATTATACACCATGAGTTAAGTGGGATTTCCTCCAGGGAGGAAAGTTTGGTTAACATCTCAAAATCCATTAAAATCGTAGACCACTAGATTAAGAAAGAAAAATGGCAAGATCCTCTCAATAGACTCAAAGACAATAATTGATGAAACACAGTACTTTCATAATTAACACATTCCGCATACCCAGAATGGGAGTAAATTTCCAAACCTCATTATGAGGATCTGTGGAAAACCCACGGCTACTGAGTGCTTTAACTGGGAAAGATTGAGTGCTTTTCCCTAAAGGTAAGGAACAAAGCACATCTAATCTGTCACTGCTACTCAACAGTTGTCTGAAGATTTTAGCGAGAACCATTTTAAGGAGAGAAATAAAATGCATGCAGATTGGTTAGAAAGATGCAAAACTATCTTTACTGCCAGGTGAGGTATCTTATATAGAGAAAACTTTTAAAAGACCATTGAAATTAGTAATTGAGTTCAAAAAGTTTGCAGGATTGGAGGTCAGAATATAAAAACCAATTATATATTTTCACACTCCCAGTGATCAGTCTGATAATGAAATTTACAAGTGAAATGCATATAGAATAAATATAGAATAGAATCAAAGAGAATAAATACTTAAATAAATCTAATGAGAAAAATAGGAAGCAAATATTCTACGAACTGCAAAATATGGTCAAAATAAATTAATAAATGGGAAAAGCATCTGAATTTCATGAATCAGATGACAACACTGTCCCAGACATTGAGGGCAATATCTATTGTGACCCCAGCCGTATCCTTTATAGAAATTGGAAAACTGTTCTATAAATTTATATGAAATTACGAATCAACCAGAATTACCAAACTGTTCTTGATTAAGGAAACAGAGCAATAGGACTAATATCTTGGTCCAAAACACTGTACAAACCAAAGAGAATCAAGGTAAGTCTTGTACTGACATAAGGATAAACATACAGATCTATGGGATAGATTAAGATTTGAGAAATAAACCCTTATTTCTATGGGCAACTGAAATTTGATAATGGTACCAAAATGCGAAAAGAATACTTTTTGTCATAAATCGCTGCTCAGCCAACTGGATATTCACTTGCAGAAAAAACGGGTTGTACGATGACATCACACCACCCACTCTAATAGTGGATCAAATGGATCCACCCACTTCAAATGGATCAAAGGCCTAAACACAAGATGAAATTACAAAATACTTAGATAAAACATAGGAGAAAATTCCTGGCGTTGGATTTGGCCAAATATTGTTAGATATGACACAAAGAGAAATAATGGGGAAAAACTAGGTAATTTAGACTTCATGAAATTACCGACTTCTGTGCTTCAAAGGACACCAGCAACAAAGTGAAAACACCCTTGTGCAAAATTGCTGGGAATACAAAATTGTGTTGCCAGTATATGTATATCAAATCACATTGTAATATTCAAATATAGACAATTTTTAGTCAATTTTACCACAATAAAGCTGTGTGGAGAAAAGTTTCCAAGTGCATCCCACATTTACATAATTATTTATTGTTTTTATTTAATAATTAACAATAAGAATCAGTTATCTTATGGATATTACAGTGTTTGCATTTCAAAGTTCTCTAGGAACACAGGCAAAAACTGATCTGAATTTCCTTCTAAGGTAAAATGTACGCCTGAGAATGTAATGAGCACATCTCGCAACCTGTATTTAGACTGAGAAGTGTCTTTGCACCCAGGCTGGGTGCAGCTCCCCACCAGTCAGGTGCTTTGTGATTCTTTCTCTTAAGAACCAAATGAGTGGATGTGGGGCAGGGATGGGTGGGAGGTTCCAGGCTTGCAAGGATCAAAGACTAAAACAGAGCCAGACTCTTCACACTAAGTGTCTGTGTTTGTAAACAAAGGTCAGAGTTCTCTGAGTGGACTCACAGCCTTACCCTGAAGCCCTTGACCCTTGGAGCATATAAGACCCTCTTGTTCCAGTGTGTCCTGGCTTGGATCGTCCTCTTGTCTGTACTAACTTGCTCTGTCTGGAAACCAAATCAGGATTCCCTGTGCACAACTGTGCTCTCGGCTTCGCAAAGAGCTGGGGAGAAACAATACAAAAGCCCCAGGACTAGAAAAGATCTGTTTATGTTAGGTCGGGTACTGCACACAGGCTAAAGCGGTTTCAGAGGATCAGGGTCCTCCCGCAAACTGTCACTCTGGGCCGTAGGAACTGTCCAATCAGAGGCGCCGCTGAGGCAGGTGGGTGGGGTTATGTTGAGCTCGGGCGTGGACGTCTCCAGCGCTGCTCTGGGTTCGGTGTCGGCTCCTTTTAAAGGTCACTGGTGGCTCTGTCACAGCTTCTGTCGCATTTTGATCTGCACTAAACGTGAGGGTCGTAGGAAGGACTCAAAGACACCCAGGAAACCTAGAAATGGTGAGTGTGCTGCTCCTAGGTGGGGAGACGGGGAAGACGGGCTGGTAGGAACCTGCCATGGCGGAGCCCGGCTTCCCCGGGGTAAAGTCCGGAGTCCGCCCCGGGGCGCCGCTCCAACTTCGGTCCGCTCCGGCTCTCGGCGAGGGTGCTGGGCCGGCAGCCGGGACCCGGGCGTCCAGGCCCGTCACTGCGCGGCGACGTAGACTTAGGAGCCTCTCTGGGCAGCTCTGCGTCCGCGGCCCCGCGTCTCCCCGGGTGGCGCGCTGACCACGGGAGGGCGATCAGGAGACAGTCGTGACTCGGGCTCCGGGGCTCGCGCGTGGGAGCATCTGAGGTCCGTGGGGTCCCCAGTCCCTTCTGTCTCCCCAGAGGGGGGGACCCTCTTTCTCCTGAGTTTTCCAAATGTTCGGGAAGCAGGGTCTGAAGTCCATAAACCTATTCCCACCCCGTTCTTCCTAGGGGTGGCAGTAAGTCCCTGAATTTTCAGTTCCTGCAGCCATTCCCTAAACCAACTTCCTCTCTCCGATTCGCAGCATTATTATCAACTATTTGTTCAATGGGGTGCATTTCAAACAGACCCAACATTCCAGTTGCTTATCTTTCTCCCTCAGAGCTTTGCAAATGCCCTTTTTAAAAGATTTCTATTTCTTCCCTAGCCAGCGTGGCTCAGTTGTTTGGGTGGTCTTCCACAAAGCCAAAGACCGCCAGTTGGATTCCCGGTCAGGGCACAAGCCTGGGTTGCGAGTTCAGTCCCCTGCAGGGGAGAGATGGAGAGGCAACCGATAGGTGTTTCTTACATTAATGTCTCTATCCCTCTCCTTCTCCCTCCCTTTCCCTCTCTCTAAAAATAAATAAATGAAAAAAATTTAAAGATATATTTGTAGATATTTTGCATGGGAGGATACTAGACAAGAACCACCTGGAAGACATTTGTGTGAAATCCTGGTTCCTATCCCTGGGCACAGACATCCTACGGGAAGTCCTTTGAGTGGAGGTTCCTCTTTGGAAACTTTCCTGTGTGTTCTCTCCTCTCAGCACTGCCCCTCCCTGCGTCTGTCACTTGAAAACATTTATTAACTTATTTAAGTAAAATGTATTTAATCAACAGAGCTTGAAACAATATAAAATAGTTCCAAACAGGTATGAAAGACGTGAATTAAGGAAAAATAAAATATTCCAGTATTACATTTCATTTTTATGTAATTCTTTTTTCACTCTCCCTGAGCATGTGTAGTAAGTTTCACAGGAAATATAATTAACTGAAATCTTTAAAATATGTATATAAAGAAAGAGATATTTAAGTTGTTCTAGTTGAAGTACTAAAGACCTTTACAATTTTCTTCCTTCCTCTCTGCATAAATACTTGGTTTAAGTGATTTTGGTGGATTTTAAATGATTGTCCAAAGCAAATCCAGTGTAAAGCAGGGGTGTATGGTCAAGGTTCTTTGAGCCTGTGAGGTGCTCACCTAGAAAACAAACAAACAAACAAAATGTCTTTCAAAGTGAGTGGCAAAGGGCATTTGTGTGAGATCAGTAAGAATAACTACTTGTGAAGCAGTGATTCAGACACAAGCCCAAATCTTATCTCCTAAGCTCCACTTAGGAGATAAAGGCAAGCTGTATTTATGAGAAAAGGAAAGGGAGTAGTTACATCAGTAGAAGGAAGGTACGTCTATTGGTCAACATGGCATAACATAGTGTTTTAAACTTTGAGTAAGGTAGTCATCAGTCCTTGCAAACAGGTCTTTGGGACACATGTTGCTTTAAGTCCAGCCCAAAGGTTATTTTGCCTTGTTTTGACACACCAAGGTTTGAGGCATAAGACATGCAAGGCAGTTCCTCTGGGGTGGCAGCTCCATTTTGATATGGTTCCACTTATTTATATTTTTTTTACAAAAGGAAAGTGCTTGAAGGAGCAGTGGTTCCACCTGGGGAGCATCCCCTGCTGGTGTCCCACCTGCTCACACCTGCCGTGGAAGGAGCCTGTACACTGAGAAGCTGCAGCCCTGGGGAGCTGGGGCGTATGTGCACATGGGGGAGGGGGATGATGTCCTTTTGTTGATTGTAATTGTGGTTTCCTTAGGCCTAGACATTTTTAGATCTTATGTTTGAGTTTTGCATCTACAGTATAGGTACAATCAGAGTGTGATTTGTGCACAGTGAGAAATTCTGTAAAGATCAGAGCTTCTATCTCGTGGACAAAGGGTTTATGAATTGAGGAGTTTAAGAAAAAAATTTACCTTTTATTTATTTTTAGAGACTGTGAGGGAGAAAGAGAGGGAGAGGAATATCAATTGTGGTTGCCTCTCACGAGCCCCCCAACTGGGGACCTGGCCCACAACCCAGGTATGTACCCTGACTGGGAGTCAAACCAGTGACCCTTTGGTTCGCAGACCAGCACTCAACCCACTGAGCCACACTAACCAGGGCAAAGAAAAAAAATTTTAAATGAACTGGGGAGTCCATTTGGGTCAGGATCTTAAACTGAATCAGGCTGAGTTTTTTTGTTTTTGTTTTTGTTTTTTTACTCAGATGAATTTTTATTTTTATTTTTAAAATATATTTTATTGATTGTGCCACTATAGTTGCCCCATTTCTCCCCTTCATTCCCCTCCACCCTGCACACCCCCTCCCCACTATATTCCCCTCCTTTAGTTCATTTCCATGTGTATTAAGTTCTTTAGTTCTACATTTCCCACACTACTCTTGCCCTCACCCCCCCCATCTATTTTCTCCCCACTGTCTATGCTACTTATTTTCTGTAACTTCTCCCCCTCTCTCCTCCTCTCACTACCCTGTTGCTAACCCTCCATCTGATCTCCATTTCTGTGGCTCTGCTCCTGATCTAGCTGTCCACTTAGTTTGCTTTTGTTTTAGGTGTGGTTGTTAGTAACTGTGAGTTTGCTGTCCTTTCACTGTTCATATTTCATATCTTCTTTTTCTTAGATAAGTCCCTTTAACATTTCATATAATAAGGGCTTGGTGATGATGAACTCCTGGAGTTTGACCTTATCTGAGAAGCACTGTATCTGCCCTTCCATTCTAAATGAAAGCTTTGCTGTAGAGCAATCTTGGTTGTAGGTTCTTGCCTTTCATGACTTGGAATACCTCTTTCCAGCCCCTTCTTGCCTGTAAGGTCTCTTTTAAAGAAATCAGCTGACAGTCTGATGGGAACTGTTTTGTAGGTGACTGTCTCCTTATCTCTTGCTGCGTCTAGAATTCTCTCTTTCATTTTCATCTTGGGTAATGTAATTATGATGTGCCTTGGTGTGTTCCTCCTTGGGTCCAACTTCTTTGGGATCTCTGAGCCTCCTGGATTTCCTGGAAGTCTATTTCCTTTACCAGATTGGGGAAGTTCTCCTGTATTATTTGTTCAGATAACTTTTTCACTTGTTGCTCTTCCTCTTCCCCTTCTGATGTTGGAGCATTTAAAGATGTCCTGGAGGTTCCTAAGCCTCTCCTAATTTTTTAAAAATACTTGTTTCCTCATTCTTTTCTTTTTGGTTGTTTCTTTCTTCCTTCTGATCCACTCCATTGATTTGAGGCCCAGTTTTCTTTCCATCACTATTGTAACCCTGTGCATTTTCCTTCATTTCACTTAGTGTAGCCTTCATTTTTTCATCTAATTTGCAACGAAAATCAACCAGTTCTGTGAGCATCCTGATCACCAGTGCTTTGAACTGTGCATCTGATAGGTTGGCTATCTCTTGGTCGCTTAAAAGTATTGGCTCTGCCAACAATATATCAAAAAGATCATACACCAAGATCAAGTGGGATTCATCCCAGGTATGCAAGGATGGTTCAATATTCGCAAATCAGTATATGTAATACATCACATAAACAAAAGCAAAGACAAAAACCACATGATCATATCAATAGATGCGGAAAAAGCTTTCTATAAAGTACAACATCTATTTATGATAAAAAACACTCAGCAAAGTGAGAATACAGGGAGCATTTCTCAATATAATAAAGGCCATATATGAGAGACCTACAGCCAATATCATACTCAACGGGAAAAAACTAAAAGCTTTTCCACTACAATCAGGAACAAGACAAGGATGTCCACTTTCACCACTTCTATTCAATATAGTATTGGAAGTTTTAGCCACAGCGATCAGGCAGGAAAAGCAAATAAAAGGCATCCAAATAGGAAAGGAGGAAGCAAAACTGTCACTGTTTGTAGATGACATGATAGTGTACATGGAAAATCCTATAGACTCTACCCAAAAACTGCTTGAACTAATTAATGAATTTGGCAAAACAGCTGGTTACAAAGTCAATATCCAGAAATCAAAGGCATTTTTGTATACCAACAATGAATCAGCAGAAGCAGAAATCAAGGAAAAAATCCTATTCGATACAGCAAAAAGAAAAATAAAATATCTGGGAATAAACCTAACTAAGGAGGTAAAAGACTGTATGCAGAAAACTACACAGCCATGAAGAAAGAATTCAAGGAAGACACAAACAAATGGAAACATATACCTTGTTCATGGATTGGAAGAATTAACATCATCAAAATGTCCATACTACCCAAAGCAATATACAGATTCAATGCAATACCTATTAAAGTACCAATGGCATATTTCACAGACATAGAACAAACACTTCAAAAATTTATATGGAACCATAAACGACCCCAAATAGCAGCTGCACTTTTGAGAAAGAAGAACAAAGTAGGAGGGATCACAATACCTGATATCAAACTGTATTACAAAGCCACTGTAATCAAAACAGCCTGGTACTGCCATAAAAACAGGCACATAGACCAATGGAACAGAACAGAGAGCCCAGAAATCAACCCAACTCTCTACAGTCTATTAATATTTGACAAAGGGGGCAGTAACATAAAATGGAGTAAAGATAGCCTCTTCAACAAATGGTGCTGGGAGAACTGGACAGCTATGTGCAAAAAAATGAAACTTGAGCACCAACTTACACCATATACCAAAATAAATTCTAGGTGGATAAAAGACTTAAATATAAGCTGTGACACC